CGAGGAGGAAGTGAGACGGAAGAGGCCATAATCATCGAGTCAGATGACGAGGAGGAGGAGGAAAGAACGGAGCCTCCGTCCGTCTTATTTGAGAACATGAAGGACTTGCTGGATAAGATGGGGAGGTACCAACAGAAGTTGGTGGGCCTCTGTAAAGAAGTGAAAGGATGGAGGTCTAACATCCCCACAGTATTCCTCTATGACTCCGGCCCGGAGTCAGCGCCTGGGCGACCCGGAGTAAATGTGGTGGGGTCGTGCCCTCAACCAGGAATAAGGGGGAGACCCCTCACTCCACAAGCCCGGCTGGCACAGGCAGCGCGAACGAGGAATCAAGCCAAGGCCAGTACCGGCCAAGAGCCTCCAAGGGGGGAACACGAACCAAGGAGAAGGAAGGAGGTTGTGGAAGTAGAGGACGACGATGACGAAGAGGAAGAGGACGAGAGGCTGCGCAGAGAAGAAGATTAGAGAGCGGAGCAGCGGGCAAGGAAAAAGAGGATCAGGGGAGAGGCCGAACCGGTCATACAGGACGGACCGCCCAAAAAGAAGAAATACGCGGTCCGGTTGGAAGAAGGATTTGACGTAGAGAAGGTGATTGACCGGCTGCTGGAAGGGCATAATGACCTCATGACCCTGAAGGAAATCCTAGCGTCAGCCCCGCGACTCCGCTATGAACTGAAGGGGAGGTTATCACGGCGCCTAGTGCCCAATGTCCATCTGGGTACGATCCTGCCCAAGGAGGCAGAGTGGGCAGAGTCAGGTACGAAGATGGACTGGAAGTGCATAGCCTATGGTACGGTGGATTTGATGGTGAAGGGTTCCAAGTGCGCAACAATGGTCGACACCGGGGCAGAGATGAACACTATTCGGGAGGCGGACGCGATCAGATTCGAGCTGGATATAGACCGTTCTGACTGCGGTATTCTGCATGGAGCCAGCTGTAAGGCCATGTTTTGCGGGACAGCCTCAAATGTGCTCGTCGAGGTTGGAAAGGTGAAGGCCAGGGCATGCTTCTTCATAATGCCAGACGTGGACCATGGAATCCTCCTGGGGAGGTCATTCCTAAGCAGGACAGAGACCGTGATGTTCAACAAACATGATGGGACGTTGATCCTCCTCTTATGCGATCCTGCCTGCGGAAATTATGAAACAATTACTTGCAGGAACACCGGGCCAAGGAGTATAAGGAACCGGCCCAATCCAGGATCATTCACAATCGAGGAGTCGGAAGGGGAGCGCAGAAGGCTCTTGGCAGAGCTCGAAGTAGGAGAGAGGGTGGAAGCATTTTCCCTCTGCCTGTAAGATGTTGGGAAGGTCATGGTCCTGGTGGCCGCGCATGAGATGGCAGATCCGGATGACATCCAGGCCTTGAGGGAACAAGTTCTGGAATGCCCTGAGGCAGGAAAGTTGGAACTGGTATATCGGCTCCCAGGCAGTGGAGGGAACCCCGCATCAGTGCAAATACAATCAGTGAGTCGGCCTTTTTTAAGGGAAGGCTCAAGCAGGGTTCCCAAAGGCGGTACAAGACGGTAGATAAGAAATGTCGCCCGGTACCCGTCCTCGTTACAGAGGACGAGGAAGCATATTACGAGAGAGAACGAGGGTTGATTCGACAAATGAGGGAAAGTGCTTTAGCAGGGTCATATCGTATCAACGAAGGGAACGAGAAGGAGTTGATCATAGAGGAGTCTGATTTCCTGCTGCCTCAGGACCGAACGCTGATGGTGGAATTAATGAAGAGGAAGCATCGCGCCTACGCATTTAGTGACGTGGAGCGTGGCAGGCTGGATGTAGATAAGATACCTATGATCCGCATCCACACCGTGCCACACGAGCCTTGGAACATGAGAGGGGCGCGGTATCCCAATCCTGACGAGGAGAGGAAGGTGGTGGATTATCTCGACGGCAAGATACGTACTCACGTCGCCGACTATTCAAGTGGACCGTATGCATCCCCGTGGTTCTGCTTTATTAAGCCTAACGGGACGCTGCGGTGGGTGCAGGATTTGCARAGATTGAATGCAGTGACCGTGGGAGATGCTGGAGGACTGCCGAATGCAGACGCGCTGTCGGAATCCTGTGTTGGAAAGCCTATAATTTCGCTTATAGACCTTTACTCAGGATACGATCAGTTCCCAGTCTACCCGCCGGATAGGCCGGTGACAGCTATGCACACGCCGCGAGGATTAGTCCACATGAACGTGGCCCCACAAGGGTAGACCAACGCAGTAGCAATGGTCCAACGGGCCATGATTCGGGCCATGCAGTCAGTCAACCCCCATATCACACAGCCATACATTGACGATTTGGCAGTGAAGGGGCCGGCGACGAAAGAGAGCGACGAAGTCTCACCAGGGGTAAGACGCTTTGTCTGGAAGCACATTCAGGACCTCGAAAAGGTCCTGAGCCTGCTCGAAGAGCATAACCTCACGGCAAGCGGGGCCAAGTCCAGACACTACATGAGGGAAACGACTATCTTGGGGATAGTCTGCAATGAGAAGGGCCGAAGGCCGGATGTGAAGAAGACGGACAAGATTACTGAGTGGCCGGTTCCGTTCCACTCAATAACTGATGTCAGGAGCTTCCTTGATACGTGTGGATTTTGGAGGGCCTTCGTCAAGAACTTTGCCGCTAAGACTGAACACCTGAGGAAGTTAGTCCGTCAGGATCAGGAATGGGTATGGGGTGAGGAACAAGAAGAGGTGGTAGCAAAAATGAAGGAGGAATTTCGAGAGGAGGGTTGGTGTTAGGAGCGCCAGATTATGACGCCACAGAGACGCGACCCTTCATTGTCGAGATGGATGCGGGACCGACTGCCTTAGGGGGAGTTCTAATTCAGGCATACATGGACGGGAAGGAAAGACCCTTGCGATTTGAGAGTCGGACTCTCTGTACGACGGAGAGGAACTACTCTCAGTTCAAGAGGGAGACCCTTGTTGTCCTCCATTGTCTGCGAATCTTCCGGAATTATATTTTTGGCAGGAGGTTTATTTTGAGAGAGGATCCGACCGCCCTGGCCTACTCTCTAAGGAATTACGTTCCATCGGATCCGACGATTGCCAGATGGCTGACGTACATCTGGATGTTCAATTTCGAATTGGAACGGATTCCAAGTAGTAAGAACCGGGCGGACGGGCTGAGTCGGATCAACTGGGATAAGCAGGAAGGGGAGGCGGTGGAGAATACGCCCCCAGTTGATGGATTTCTGGATCAGGAAGAAGATGTTCGTCTTCATATCAACAAATGGTCGCCGCGAGTGCCTAGCTGTGTAGACTATCCTATCTGGCAAGCGCCGAAGGGGTATGAAAGGAGGAATGAGTTAGTCCTTAACCGCTTTAAAGAAGAGGATCCCTGGGGCGGTAAGGATGTTCAGTGGATGATGGAATTAGCGCTGGCCAGCTCGCATAGCCTGGTGGAGGATATGAGGA